CCCTCTCAGCATGGAGTCTGCTGGAGATTCTCTCCCTCTGCCCTTCCCCTGCCCTGCTCACTCTTGCTCTAAAATAATTTTTAAAAATTTATATAAAAAGGCAAAGTATCCAAAATCTATAAAGAACTTAGCAAACTCAGCGCTCAAAGAACAAATACTCCAATCAGGAAATAGGCAAAGGACATGAACAGACATTTCTGCAAAGAAAACATCCAGATGGCCAATAGACACATGAGAAAGTGCTCCGTATCACTAGGCATCAGGGAAATACAAATTAAAACCACAATGACATGCCACCTGACACCAGTCAGAACGGCTAAAATTAACAAGTCAGGAAACGACAGGTGTTGGCGAGGATGCGGAGAAAGGAAACCCTCCTACACTGTTGGTGGGAATGCAAGCTGGTGCAGCCACTCTGGAAAACAGTAGGGAGGTTCCTCAAAAGGTTGAAAATAGAGCTACCCTACAACCCAACAATCGCACGACTGGGTATTTACCCTAAAGATACAAATGTAGTGATTCGAAGGGGCACATGCACCTGAATGTTTATAGCAGCAATGTCCACAATAGCCAAACTATGGAAAGAGCCCAGATGTCCATCAACAATGAATGGATAAAGATGTGTGGTATGTACATACACACACACACACACACACACACACACACACACAGGAGTATTACGCAGCCATCAAAAAATTGAAATCTTGCCATTTGCAACAATGTGGATGGAACTAGAGGATATTATGTTAAGCGAAATAAGTCAGTCAGAGAAAGACAATTATTATCATATGAGCTCTCTGATATGAGGAATTTGAGAAACAAGACAGAGGATCATAGGGGAAGGGAGGGAAAAATGAAACAAGATGAAACCAGAGAAGGAAACAAACCATAAGAGACTCTTAATCTCAGGAAACAAACTGAGGGTTCCTGGAGTAGAGGGGAGTGGAGGGGATGGGGTGGCCGGGTGATGGACACGGGGGAGGGTATGTGCTATGGTGAGTGCTGTGAATTGTGTAAGGCTGATGAAATCACAGACCTGTATTCCTAAAACAAATAATACATTACATATTAATAAAAAAAAAATTAAGGGGTGCCTGGGTGGCTCAGTTTTAAGTGTCTGCCTTCGGCTCAGGTCATGATCCTGGGGTCCTGGGATTGAGCCCCACATTGGGCTCCCTGCTCAGCAGGAAGCCTGCTTCTCCCTCTCCCACTCCCCCTGCTTGTGTTCCTTCTCTTACTGGATCTTTCTCTGTCAAATAAATAAATAAAGTCTTAAATAAATAAATAAAAATTTTTAAAAAATTGTTTGCATTGTTAAAATAAGTAAATAAAACCTCAAATAAAGTCCAAGCCAAGACTGCCCTGATACCAAAGTCAGGCAAAGACACCACAAGAAAACTAAAGACCACTAGCTCTTGTGTTGCTGTAAAATCCAAAACAAAATATTAACCTAACTAGCCTATTAAGGGATTACACACAATGACCAAATGGGACTAATTTGAGGAATGCAAGAACTGTTCAACAGGTGAAAATCAATGAAATAAATCACATTAACAAATGAAGGGAATAAAATCCACTTAATCATCTCAGTTGTTGCAGAAAAAGTATGTGACACAATTCACACCCTTTCATGATAAAAATATTTTTAAAAAACTTGGAATAGAAGGGAACTACCTCAACACAACAAAGGCCATATATGAAAAACCCACAGCCAACACCTAGCCAATGGTGGAAGACTGAAAGCTTTTCCTCTAAATCAGGAACATGACAAGGATGTCTTCTTTCACCACTTCTGTGTTCAACACAGGACCAGAAGTCCTAGCCAGAGGAATTAAACAAGACAAAGAAATAAAAGCACGCAAATTGAAAAAGAAGAAAATTATCTCTGTTCACAGACAATATTACGTTATAGGTAGAAAACCTGAAGATTCCACAAAAACCTGTTAGAACCGATAAACAATTTCAGCGAAGTTAGAGGATATAAAATCAATACATGAAAACCAGTTGTGTTTCTATATACTAACAATGAACAATCTGAAAAAAAAATTCCATTTACAATAGCACTGAAAAAATAAAATACTGAGGAATAAACTTAACCAAGGGGGTGAAAGACTCATACACTGAAGACTATAAAATGTCGCTGAAAGAAATTAAAGACACAGTGAGTCCCAAAGAGATATTTATACACTCAGGTTCAGAGCAGCATCATTATGCACAATAGCTAAAAGGTGACAACAACTCAAGCATTTATCAGTAGGTGAATGGACAGGGCGCCTGGGTGGCTCAGTTGGTTGGGCCTGAGCCTTCAGCTCAGGTCATGATCCCAGAGCACTGGGATCGAGTCCCGCATCAGGCTCCCAGCTCCACAGGGAGGCTGCTTCTCCCTCTGACCTCCTCCCCCCTTCTCATGCTCTCTCTGTCTCTCTCTCAAATAAAATTAAAATTAAAAAAAAAAAAAAAAGAAAGATAGATAAATGGACATATAAAATATCACAGTGTTTAAAAGGAAGGAAAGTTTGACACATGCTACAACAGGGATGACCCTTGAAGACATTACAGTAAATGAAATTAGTCACAAAAGGACAAGTACCATATGATCCCCTCAAGGGAGGTGTTCAGAGTTCACAAGGGAAAGCAGACTGGTGGGCATCAGGGGCTAGAAGGCAGGGAAAGTGGAGAGTCATTTAATAAATGCACAGTTGGTTTTGCAAGAGGAAGATGGTCTGTGGGTGGATGGCAGTGATAGCTGTACAACAACGGGAATGTGCCTAATGAACCGCACACTTCAAAATGACTTAAATGGTAAAACAAAAAATTAAAATATTAAATGATATTCAGTTTTTAAAAAGAAGACACACATACATGACTCCACTCAGTATCTAGAGTAGTCAAATTCATACAAAGAGAAAACAGAAAGGTGGCTGTCGGGCTGGGGTGCAGGGGAAATGGGAGTTAACTGGTACAGAATTTCAGTTTTGCAAGATCAAAAACTTCTGGATATTAGTTGTATAGCATATAAATATATATATTTTTAAAGATTTTATTTATTTATTTGACAGACAGAGATCACAAGTAGGCAGAGAGGCAGGCAGAGAGAGAGGAGGAAGCAGGCTCCCCGCTGAGCAGAGAGCACAGTGTGGGGATCGATCCCAGGACCCTGGGGTCATGACCTGAGCCGAAGGCAGAGGCTTTAACCCACTGAGCCACCCAGGCACTCCAGCATATGAATATATTTAACACTAATGAGCTGTACACTTAGAAGTGGTTAAGACGACAAATTTTACCAAATGTAAAAAAATTACACACACACACACACACACACACGCTTCAAAGATGTCTGCCTGTTCAGAGTTCACTTGGGCAAGAGAAGTACATTTAGTTTACTGATACTGTATTATTCAGCAAGAATAGTGTCTGAAATAACATCCATGTTTCTCTCAAAAGAAAATTATTAATTATTCTTAATGAATGACAGAAGCTCTTGGGATTAATCAGCTCTGTACTAACTAAAAGATCAGAGCTAGTGTTCTGTTCATGTAATCTCTTAATCTAATTCTTTTTTTAAAAAGAGATTTTATTTCTTTTTTTTTTTTTTAAATATTTTATTTATTTATTTGATAGAGAGAGATCACAAGTAGGCAGAGAGGCAGGCAGAGAGAGAGGGAAGAAGCAGGCTCCCTGCCGAGCAGAGAGCCCCATGCGGGGCTCGATCCCAGGACCCTGAGATCATGACCTGAGCCGAAGGCAGAGGCTTTAACCCACTGAGCCACCCAGGCGCCCCAGAGATTTTATTTCTTTAACAGAGAGAGAAAGCATAAGCAGCAGGAGCGGCAGAGGGAGTGGGACAAGCAGGCTTCCGCTGAGCAGGGAGCCCGATGTGGGGCTCGATTCCAGGACCACGATCTGAGTCGAAGGCAGGCATGTAACTGACTGAGCACCCAAGTACCCCTCTTAATCTAATTCTTAGTGATGTTTTAATTCCTATAAGCTTAACTTATCCAAGAAAGTCACCAGGAAAATAGAGCTTTAAAAGAGAAGAGAATGTTATCAAGCCATTTTTGCCTCAAGTGAATTAAATGGTCAATTTTATAAAGAGCACTTTAATTTGTGAACCCAGCTGTCAACAAATTTGACCTAAGTGCTGTACAGGGGTTATGTGGCAGGTCACAGAACTGGGACTCAAAAAAAATCCAAAAAGATTTTAAGATTAAAAACTCTAATTAAAATTTTTGTTTCTGGATCTTGGATCCTTATGTCAAAATCTCAGTTGTCTTATCCACAATATCATGATCCTACTTTAAAAGAGCACTGCATATTAGTTATAATTTCGAAACCCATCGAAATAGAATTATAGTATTGCTGAGGATGGTTTTTGTAAACTATCAGTTTCATTTCGTGTCACACACTTTTCCTACTTAAAATAATTTTTACTACAGTGATTTGAAAGGGCACATGCACCCCAATATTTATAGCAGCAATGTTCACAACAACCAAATTATAAAAAGAACTTAGATATCCATCGAGAGATGAATGGATAAAGGTGTGGCATGTACACACACACACACACACACACACAGAGCAATATTACTCAGCTATCAAAAAGAACGAAATCTTGCCATCTATAAGGACATGGATGGGGAATTATGCTAAGTTATGTAAGTCAGAGAAAGACAAATCCATATGATTTCACTCTTATGTGGAATTTAAGAAACAAAACAGATGAACATAGAGGAAGGAAAGGAAAAATAAAAAAAGATAAAAACAGAGAGGGAGGCAAACCATAAGAGACTCTTAACAGTAGGAAACTAAGGGTTGCTGGAGGGGAGGAGAGTAGGGGGATGGAGTAACTGGGTGATGGGCATTAAGGAGGGCACTTGATATAATGAGCACTGGGTGTTACATGGAACTGATGAAATCACTAAATTCTACCCCTGAAACTAATAATATACTATATGCTACTTTAATTGAATTTAAATTAAAAATAAAAAAATTTTACTTACTTGGTCAACTTGTGGCTTTTCATTGCTGTGAGAAATTCTCTAACAATTTCAGGACTCTGGTGCCTGCATGGTGTTTTTGATATATATTTTAATGTCTACCCAAAAAAAAAAAAAGAAAGAAAAAGTAAGCATAAGACAAAAAAACCCGAATGAGAAAAAAGAAAGACAATGGCTATAATTTAGTATTCTAAAATTTTATTTCAAAAATCTTCTATAAAAGGACCCATTACAGATTGGAGGATATTAAGGAGACATGGTAATTAAATACAAAACAGTATCCTTGAAAAGAAAAAGAGCATTAATGGAAAAACTGAGAAAATTTGAATAAAATCTATGTATAATATTCTTAGTTTTGATAACTGTGCCATGGTTATATGAGATGTTAACATCAGGGAAAACGAAGAGAAGGGCATATGGGCACTCTCAGCACCACCTCTGTAACTCTTCTGTAAGACTACCATTATCTCAAAATAAAAGGCTTTTACTTTTTTTAAAAGAGGGAACCCCACCTAGACATAACTTGAAAGGAACTTCAAACTTGAAAAGTAAACAGTAACCTCAAGCCTCTAAGTTAAGAGTCTCTCCCAAGTGCAAAGATCAGGCTGGTCTCAGACTCCTCCGTAATGATGACCACTAGCAGACTAAGTAATACCTACAGAACCTTGCAGAACGGAAGTCAAACCCATGAACTCCAAGTTCAGATGAGGTGTCATTCGTACATTAAGAACACTAGAAATATATTCTCAGGCATAAAAAGTCTCAAAACACTTAACCGCCACAGTAACTTTCCTTAAGGCACTATAAATTAAAAGAACTTAACAAATATGTAAAAGAGTGCCAGTGAGTTTAAACTGATTTGAGCGTGTATTTAGAGTACCTGACAGCTTGAAATTTGGCTATAAAACTAATTACCAACAAACATTTCATTTTCTTTTTTTTTTTTAAAGATTTTATTTATTTATTTGACAGAGATCACAAGTAGGCAGAGAGGCAGGCAGAGGGAGAGAGGGGGAAGCAGACTCCCTGCTGAGCAGAGAGCCCGATGTGGGGCTTGATCCCAGGACCCTGAGACCATGATCTGAGCCGAAGGCAGAGGCTTAACCCACTGAGCCACCCAGGCACTCCCATTTTCTTCTTTTAAAGAGATGAATACTATAATGTAAAAGAACATGAGTGAATAAATAAATGATAGTTTCTTTTGAGAGAGTGAGTGAGCACATACACAAGCTCGGGGCAGGGGAGGAAGTGGTGGGAGAGGGAGAAAGAATCTTAGGCAGACTCCCTGCTGAGCATGAAGCCTGATGTGGGGCTTGATCTCATGACCCTGAGATCATGACCTGAGCCGAAATCAAAAGTGGGATGTTTAAGCGACTGATCCAGACGCCCCTGAATGATGGGATTTTAAACACATGATTAGATGAACAAAACTAGATGGGGAGGAATGATGACAAAAGCACCGAAAACCCTTTAATTTTCCTTAAAAGGGATTATAGTCGCTTAATCCAGGTTTAATGTGTCTTTGCCAGATAAAGATAATTAAAACTATATCCTTTGTAGCTTGAAAGGAAATAGCAGAAAACATAAATTATAAAAATAATTAGATAAAAAATCAAACATCACATAAAACAAATATGATTACTTAAACAATTTTTTTTGAGATTATTTATTTATTTGACAGAGAGAGAGATCACGAGCAGGCAGAGAGGCAGGCAGAGAGAGAGGATGGGAAGCAGGCTCCCCACCGAGCAGAAAGCCCAATGCGGGGCTTGATCCCATGACCCTGAGATCATGACCTGAGCCGAAGGCAGAGGCCCCAACCCACTGAGCCACCCAGGCGCCCCAACTTTTTTAAGCATTAGGTTGGGAGAAAACATAGAAAAATGTCAACTAAATGTTAAAACTGTAAATTACTTTTGCTTTCTTCTTTATACTTTTTGGTACTTTCTAAGTTTTTAACAGTAAAAAAACATTACTTTTTGTGTGATAAAGAATTTAGCTTTGTCGAAAGAGACAGTTTGGCCGTTGTCCTCAGCTTCTGGGAGGCAATCTCTAGACCCTTGGAATGCTATCTCAATGGAGTATCTTTGGAGGCCTTGGTCATACTGAATAGTCTTAAAAATGTGACTTAGGGTGGGGGCTTTGGGTCATGCCGTATCAATGTACCTAGAGGCTGAGATGAACTACACAGGAAATCAATCTTCAATCATGCTTATATGATACAGCCCAAATAAAAATTTGGGACACTGAAGTTCAGCTGAGATTGCTGGTTGACAATATTCTGTATGCATTGTTACACACCAATTTCAAGAGGAAAACATGCTCTGACTCCACATTAGAGGACAAAAGAAGCTCTAAGTTGGAATTTCTCTTAAAATCTGTCCCTTATGCTTTCTCCCTTGGCCAATTTTAATCTGTAATAAACTGTAACTACAACTACAATAGCTTTCAATGAGTTCTGAGTACTTCCAGTGAATTACTGAACCCAAGATGGTCTTAGGGATCCCTGACTTGCAAATAGTGTTAGAACTGAGGGCAATCTTTTGACTATTCCCCCCAACTTTATCATTGGCTAAGCCTCACCATTGGCCAAACTCTTCCCACTTGTACAAACAGAATAAAACTGGGTTACGGTAAAACTACTCAAATCGAGCAAGAGGTAGTCATGATTTGGTGGCTAGTCATCTGCAGAATAAACCAACCCCCCCATGGTAGTTTGGGTACCCCCCAGAAGCACAAGGCTTACTTCATAGGTGATAGTATTCAAGTTCTGTTGCCCAGAACTGTGTTTGTTCTTTCCACTTTCCTTCCGTTGCTCTTTCAGATCAGTCAGTAACTGGAACACCTAGGAAGTGATAAATTATTTTTATGAATAAATGTGAAAAACGTATTTCAAGGTCAATGATTTTGAAGAGTAAATAGGACTGTACCTCTCTTCCTTCACAAACCCTCCCCCTAACTCTTGTATTAGAGCAAATATGAGTCTGAGAAGCAGCTGACACTTTAAAAATGCTTTTGTCTAAGTTGAATAATCCAAATTCGTTAGTTTATTGAAAATATTCCAAATGTTCCCTTTTCAACATATACCGTATCACTGATCTCCTCTTATATTAAAAATATATTGAGTATTTGAAAGTAAATTTTCCTAAAACATGATCTCAATAGATGCAAAGATTTTTCCAAAATTCAACACCAATTTATGATAAAAACGCTCAACAAACTGGTTTTAGAGGGAACACACCTCAATGTGTAAAGGCCATATATGACAAGCCCTCAGCTAACATCATACTGAACACTGAGAAGCTGAAAGCTCTTCCTATTAGACCAGGCCAAGACAAAGGTGCCACTCTTACCCCTTTTCTTCAACATAGTACTAGAAGTCCTTGCCAGAGCAATTAGGCAAGAAAAGAAATAGAAGGCAGCCAAATTGTGGTAAAACTGTCACTATTTGCAGATGACATAATACTACCTATAGAAAACTCTAAAGACTCTACCAAAAAACTGAACTAATTATAAGTGAATTCAGTAAAATTATAGGATACAAAATCAATATATAGAACTTTATTGCATGTCAAATGATAACAGTGAACTATCAGAAAGAGAAATTAAGAAAACAATCCCATTTACCATTGCATAACAAAATACCTAGGAATCAATTTAACCAAGGTATGAAAGATCTATATACTGAGCAGGATAAGACACTGAAACTGAAGAAGACACAAATAAATGGAATGATATTCCATGCTCATGGATTAGAAGAATTAGTAATGTCTGTACTACCCAAAGCAATCTACAGATTACGTGTAATCTCTATCAAAATTCCAATGGAATTCTTCACAGAAATAGAAGAAGCAATCCTAAAATTTTATGGAACAACAAAAGATCCTGAATAGTCAAAGCAATCCTGAGAAAGAAGAGCAAAGCTAGAGGCATCAAGCTTCCTGATTTCAAACTACATCACAAAGCCAAGAAATCAAAATGGTATTGTATTGACATAAAAAGACATATATCAATGGAACAGAACAGAGAGTCCAGAAATAAACCTACACATATGTGATTAGTTAATTTTGACAAAGGAGCCAAAAATACACAATGGAGAAAAGAGAGTCTCTTCAATAAATGGTGCTGGGAAAACTGGACCATTACCTTATACCACACATAAAAAATTAACTCAAAATGAATTAAAGAACTGAATGCAAGACCCGAAACCATAAAGCTCCTAGAGGAAAACACAAGAGACAAGCTCCATGACATCGGTTTTGGTGATGATTTTTTTTAAACACCAAAAGTAAAGGCAACAAAAGCAAAAATAAAGTGGGACTACATCAAACTAAAAGGCACAGCAAAGGAAACCATCAGCAAAGTAAACAGACAACTTACTAGATGAATGAAAATATTTGCAAACCATACATCTGATAAGAAGTTAATACTCAAAACATATAAAGAACTTACAAAACAACCAATCGCATTAAAAAAATGGGCAGAGCACTGAAACAAACATTTTTCACACAGACGGCCAACAGACACATAAAAAGATGTTCAACATCAGTAATCATCAGGGAAGTGCAAATCAAAACCGCAATGAGATTTGACTTCATAGCTGTTAAAACAGCTAACATCAAAAAGACAAGAAATAATGTGTCGGCAAGGATGAGAAGAAAAGGAAACACTTGTGCACTGTTGATGGGAATGTAAATTCATGCAACCACTATAGAAAACAGAATGGAGGGTCCTCACAAGTTAAAAATAAAACCACAGTATGATTCAGCAATTCTGGGTATTTTATCAAAACAAAATAAAAACACTAACTCATATGTAAGACATATGCACCACCATGTTCAATGCAGCAATATTTACAATAGCCAAGATATGGAAACAACGTGGGTGTTCATCAAGAGATGAATTTTTAAAAATGGTTTTTATATAAACAATGGAATATTATTTGGCCATAAAAAAGAATGAAACCTTGCTATTTGCAACATGGATGGATTTTAGGGTATTATGCTAAGTAAAATAAGCCAGACAGAGAAAGACAAGTATCTTATGATCTCACTTACATGAGGGATCTTAAAAAACAAAACAAAACCAAACGAGGGGGTGCCTGGGTAGCTCAGTCGGTTAAGCATGCAACTCCTGATTTCAGCTCAAGTCATGGTCTCAGGCTTGTGGGATCAATCCAGGGTTGGGTTCCATGGTCAGCACAGAGTATGCTTGTCCCTCTCCCTCTGCCCCTCCACCTGCTAGCAAGCATGTGCATTCTCTTTCAAATAGATACATACATACATACATAAAATCTTCACCAAAAAAAAAAGAAAAAAGAAAAAATGCTCAGAGACATAGAAAATAGACTCATGGCTGCCAGAGACAGGAGGCAGAGGGTGGGCAAAATCAGTAAGGGAGTCACAAGGTATAAATTTCCAGTTATAAAATAAGTAAAGTATGAGGATATAACATGCAGGATGGTAACTACAGTGTATCTGTACTGAATATGTGGAAGTTGTTAAGACAGGAAATCTTAAAAGTTATCACAAGAAAAAAAAATCTGTGTACAGTAATGGATGTTTACTAAACTTATTGTGGTAATTTCACAATGTACAAATACTGAATCATTTCATTGTACGCCTGAAACTAATGTTATCTGTCAACTGTGCCTCAATTAAAAATTTTTTCCTACAAATAAGTTTTTTCTAAAACAGGGTCCTGTTTCACTAATATGAATATCTAGTAAGTTTATTTCCAAAAAAGAAAAACTATGATGCAAGTGATAAATATAAATTTTATTAAAAAAAAAAAAGAAGAAGGGAAAAAACTGCTACAGAACTTTAGAAGTAAACTTCCCCACAAGGGAAAAACATGTATGTGTTAGTGCTGAGGAGGATGGGTGGAGGATATATCTTTCCCATTTTAGAGATTATGCCAGAGACCTAAGAAAGTTGTAAGTATGGGCTCATAAACCATTACTAGATAAAACAGAACCCCTCCCCTGCCTCTCACTATTTTTTCAGAAATAGTGTCATAAGATTAATGCAATGTTTCCCCAAAGGATAAAACACCCAAACATTCAGCAGAATCCAAACTGGACAAGGAAGTTTCTAAAAGCCAATGGCTTGACTAACAACCATTTCCTTCCTGTTATTAGTAGCAACAATTTAAGGAAGGAGTATGACCACTATGTTAAATCCAGTACTTTCTATTTTCTATATCACACGAGAGAGACTCAAATCTCCTAAAGTCTTCATGAATTTAGATTGCAGAAAATGAAAAATTGACAGTGAATGTATAAACAGTTCTTTATGTACCTGGAGCTAACCTATCAGATGGCTTTGCGAATACTAAATAAAACAAAGGCAAAATAGTAGGCAGGCAAAAATAATGTTATTATCTCCCCCTAACCAATTTCTTTCCTTTTTGCCTCCCTTTCTCCAAAAACCCAACCCTCAAGCCCCCAAATTCCAAATCTGCTAGTTCATACTAAATTATTCAGAATGGTGCATCAACTAATCTGTCACTTTCAAAATGAAAGTGTTAATACTTATAAGATTATTATGAGGATTGAAATAATAACATATAAAAGCATTTTATAGGTAAAGAGTAGTAATTAGGAAAGGCATAAGTATTTTAATGGAAAACTTTGTAGGCAGAAACAGTTCCAAAACAGATGCTTCCATCCCATGAAGGCATATCAAATGAAGATCTAAAATACTTGGGTTTGGGGAAGGCTGCCTACTGTAAACTGAAGTCTTCCCAGCTTCTCAGAATTACTATGTATAATTTACCAAGCTTCTAATTCCTAGGTCCACCAGATGGTGCCACCTGTCTTAATTTAAAGTTGAAAATCCAAATGAATTCAGTCATTTTAACTGAAACTAGTTCAATAATCTTCAAAAGCAAAGGGCAAACTACCAGAGAGGAAAATTCAATAGTTTACTTCAAAACTATTTACCTCGTAGTTACTGAGCAGTGCAGAATTGGCATCCTTCCTGCAAAATAAAGTAAATTATCATCAGTCCGGGCTCAAATTCCTTTGTGAGAATTAAGTATCTGTAAAATACTTCCCGTATCAAGATTGAGTAGTTCAGTTCAGGGATTTAGAGACTATAACCTAAAACTGAGAAATGTCCTAAGTCCTACTGGTTTAGCAGGCAATGGACAACTTCAGAGTAAACTTCCCTCTCTATGGCATATATAGCACATCAGTTACTAAGTAGGTGATCGAAATACTATACTTATCCTTAATCTATGTAGGCAGAAGTTAAGAAAAGTCAGTCATCTGGGAGAAGTCACTTAAAGGAAGAACAGGAGGCAAAACCAGAGAATTAGGAAGGGGTGTCAATAAAGCGAGGGAGCGAGACTCAACTGGAGACACAACAGTGCTGTCTCATCCCACAGGCATGTCCTTTCCGGAGTACCATCTGGCTCCCTTCAGTTACTGAAAAGATATCTTGGGCAGGGAATGTACCCTCTGAATCCGGAAAAATGGGATCATTAACACTGGGAATTTCAGCAGTGTCAAGAATCCTTCCAGAGATTCACAAAGGTACTCATCTTCTCTATCAATTCAACAGGTAAAGCTCACGTGTCAAGCAGTGGTCATTGTGCCTGCGATCAAGGCACAACGTCATCTTTCATGTATGAGTGAGCACAGCAATGTGTCTTGTATTAAAGTATAATCAAGCCATTCTACAATACCACATCAGAAGTATTTACCGTTTTTAATAGTCTAGAGGCTGTATAGTGTGATAATTATGAGCAGTTTTGAAATCAGACAAATCTGGGTTCATATTCTAGCTCTGCCACTTAAAAGGTCTGGGAGTTTTGTGAGTTTATTAATCTCCCCAAGCTTCTCATTTAAAACAAAAACCAGGGCGGGGGGTGCCTGGGTGGCTCAGTGGGTTAAGCCTCTGCCTTCAGCTCAGGTCATGATCTCAGGGTCCTGGGATCGAGTCCCGCATCGGGCTCTCTGTTAGGCATGGAGCCTGCTTCCTCCTCTCTCTCTCTCTCAGCCTGCCTCTCTGCCTACTTGTGATCTCTCTCTGTCACATAAATAAAATCTTAAAAAAAAACAAAACAAAAAACAAAAACTGGGGAGCGGAGTGGGAGGCTTTGTAGGAACCAGTCAGACTGAGTTGCCAGAGCATCGCACGTACCCTGCTGCCGCCATCTGGGAGTCTCCTGCACAGCCCAGGGGAGCAAATTCCAAGCATCTCTGCTACGGCTATTCCTTGGAGCCAGGAACGGGTAAGCTGAGTATGTGAAACCCTCAGGCCCTAGACCTGAGGCCCTCTTCCCATTTCCCAAACCACCATGACCCACTTCAACAAGGGCCCTTCTTAATATGCTCTCTGTCAAGGTCAAGAGCAAGATCCCTTCCAAGTACATCCTCAGGCAGATCTTTGAAACTGGATAGAAGAGGAGACGGGCATGAGCATTGGCACCAACTTTCAGTATGGCTCAAAAGATGGCATCATCCTCTGCGAGCTCATAAACAAGTTGCCAGGCTCAGTGAAGAAGATTAATGAGTCCTTGTTAAACTGGCCCCATTTGGAGAATATTGGGAACTTTATTAAACCTACTCAGGCTTATGGCATGAAGCCACACGACATATTTGAAGCAAATGATCCTTTCGGGAATGGAAACATGACCCAGGTTCAGACTATGCTGGTGGCTCTGGCAGGTCTGGCTAAAACAAAAGGATTCCATAAAACAAATGACGCTGGAGTTAAGTATGATGAAAAGCAAAAAAGACATTTTGATGAAAGAAAGTTAAAAGCTGGCCAAAGTGTAACTGGTTTGCAGATGGGAGCCAGCAAATGTGCCAGCCAAGCAGGTATGACAGCCTATGGCACCAAGAGGCATCTTTATGATTCCAAAATGCAAAATGACAAACCTTTTGACCAGGCCACAATTAGTATGCAGATGGGCACCAACAAAGGAGCCAGCCAGATGGGGATGTCAGCACCAGGTACCAGAAGAAACATCTATGATCAGAAGCTAACATTACAACCAGGGGACAACTCGACAATTTCTCTACAGACGGGAACCAACAAAGTTGCTTCCCAGAAAGGAATTAGTATGTATGGGCCTGGGCGGCAAGTACATGATCGCAAATACTGTGCCACTCCCACAGAACCTGTCATTCGCAATGGAAGCCAAGAAACAGGAACAAATGGGTCTGAAATTAGTGATAGGGATTATCAGGCAGAACACCCAGATGAGTATCACGGAGAGTACCAAGATGACCACCCCAGAGATTCCCAATATGGCAACCAAGGCATTGATTACTAGACTGGCACAGAGGAGCTCAGTATTTAGTCCACTGTTTTTATTCAGGGAGAACCAAGCTAACCTTGAGTAATTTTTATACTGTTTCCCTAAAACACTATCATGCTTATTGTACCTAAAAGAAGTATTGCCTGACATCCCCCCCTTCCTTTTTCTGTGTCTTCCCTAAATAGCAGCCCTTTCGTGCTGTAACAGCTCAATCTTCGAGCAGAAGCAGGAACTCCCACAGGAAGTAAAAGGAATACTGTGAACAGGGAGTACTCTCGTACAGCCAATTCTCTTATTAAAGACCTATACTTATTTTTTTAAGATTTTATTTATTTGAGAGAGAGAGACAGAGACCGAGCACAAGCGGAGGGAGCAGAAGGCAATGGGAGAAGCAGACTCCCCGCTGAGCAGAGAGCCCGATTCGGGACTCAATCCCAGGACCATGGGATCATGACCTGAGTTGAAGGCAGAGGCTTAACTGACTGAGCCACCCAGTCTTACAATCTATTAATAAACTGGGATTTTGAAACAATAGGAGACTTTTTTTTTTTTTTTTTTACAGTTTAGTATCTCTTTTCTACCTGGAGATAGAAATTGCTAAATCATTGCTAAATGAGGTCTTTGCCAACTAAATTCACAATGCAGCATTTTAGAAATTTACATAACAATGTCTTAGTTTGCTAATTTTTTTTTAAAGATTTTATTTATTTATTTGACAGAGATCACAAGCAGGCAGAGAATCAGGCAGAGAGAGAGGAAGGGAAGCAGGTTCTCCGCTGAGCAGAGAGCCCCATGTGGGGCTCGATCCCAGGACCCTGAGATCATGACCCGAGCGGAAGGCAGAGGCTCAACCCACTGAGCCACCCAGGCACCCCTCTTCCACTATTTATTGCTACATTTCTTGGTGTAAACTTATCTCACTGTATTTTTTATAAGTAAGTATTTTGGGAACATTAAAAAAAAAAGGGGATAAAGTAGCACCTCTAAGTGTAGCCTGGATTCCAAGCCAGCTCCACTGATCAGAGCTCTGTAAATTCAGGCAAATTACCCAACCTCTCTGTACTTAGATTTCCTCATCCACGAAAAGACAATTCGAGTACTAACCATGTACGATTATTTACAGGATTAAACTGAAAAATGTAAAGCACTGGAACACAGCAAATACTCAAAAACACCATCTACTGTCACTACCTGTGCTATTACCATAACGTCTTCCTAGCTCATAAAGCTATTATGAAGATGAAATGAGACAACAAATTTTAAAACTGGAGCATTGTTCTTGGTACTTATTAAGATCTTCCTTAATGGAAGCCATTGTTTTTTAAAGATCTCACCTCGCTGAATCCTCATTAAAAAAACCCTGTGATGTAGGAGCTATTATTTTTCCTTCTTTACAGATGATGAAACTGAAGCTCAGAGATTTAAAAATTTGCCTCAGGTCACGCAGTAAGAAGCCTAACTGAAGCGGAAGGTAACTACGGAACTGAGAGAAATGAGACTGGATTAGACAAATGGAAACCGGTAATTCAGAATCCTAAAAATTCAGGAAGCGCTCTGGACCTGACATACTGTCTGATAAAGACGGCTGTTTGTTCCTAAACCAGGAGCAGGGCTGTATGATGAAAATGCTGATGACACAAAATTTCAAAAACATGGGCCCAACAGTCGAGTGATTTCCCTAAGCAATCAATAAAGCAAAACAAGCAGGTGGTGAACACAAGAATCTGACCTAGGCCTTTGGTCAGGAGCACACTGATGTCAGCACTCTAATCTAATCAACATGTGAAGCTTACCAAACGCTCCAGACATTTAGCACATAGCTGGGATTTCACAAAAGCGCTGCTTTGCCCAAATGACCACAGCTGAGGTCTGTGGTCTCAACTGAGGTCACAAAGAATATCATATTTAAAAGGAATCTAAAACAGGAAGAACCATGCATAATTAGTGTATATAATATGGTTCATTTAAAACTGAAAAGGACAAATCAAACCACATGTCATCTTTGCCTACTTAATAAGGAAGTCAGTCCCACAAGGCTTCTTCCTATCTTTGCTTGAAATCGAGTTAAAACTCCCTGTGTGCCCTAAAATACACTGTAACTAAGAAATCCCCTGCTGGAACAGACTGGAAAAATAACACAAATGTTATTTTTCCTCAAGGCTAAGGGACCCATCCCAGGTGCCATTGCTACAACTTCATTTCCAACTCAGAGCCTCTCCTTCATGCAGAATATTCTACGCCTTAGGAAAATCTGTTCTTGGCTATTCCAAGTTATGGCCCACTACCCAAGCCAATACTGTTAATGCAAGAATCCAAAGAACACCTAGAACCAGGATAAAAAGGAGAGACGCTTTCTTGCATGTGTGTCTTAATGAACCTGTGTTTTGGGGCCAGGAGAACAACGGATATTTAAACAAGTACCCCATCTTGGAGATTCTGGCTGGCAGAGGCTGATTTATTCATTTATTCTTTTATTAGGAAGATAAAAATTTTTTTCTCAGTAAATACCAATGGAATAAATGCCAATATACGCCAGGCTTTCCTTTATTTAATAAAATGCCAACAGGCATAAGATCTACCTTTGATGAAATGAACTATGGTCATTTCAGTTCCTAAATGAACTGTGCATATCGAGAAAAGTTTTTAAGACAGCGTTTTATCCTACTATAACCACCACTAAGTGGCAGGTTGGTGGGAACAGGAAATGGTAAGACCGGACAGGTATCAACTTAATCAAGTGATCTCACGGCATAGCAGTGATGATGATGTGATGCACTGAGAAAGACACATCCCTTAGAGCAATCCTGTTAAAGAACATCTAATTTGAATCTAGCCATAAGGATATAACCAGACAAACCCAAGAAGAGGAACACACTTCAAAACAACAGGTTTAGATTCTTCAGACATCAATGTCATTTGTAACAATGTCAATGTCATAAAAATAGGCAAGGAAACTGTTTTTAGAATAAAGAGATTAAAAAACTATGACAACCAAAACTTGTATGACAACTAAAAATATGATTCTTAAAGCTTGATTGAAAACTACAAAAAAAAAAAAAAAGATTCTTGACTGGATTCTGAATCGGTGGTTAAAAAAAAATCTAGCTGGGGCACCTAGGTGGCTCAGTTAAGGGGCCACCTTTGGCTCAGGTCATGATCCCAGGGTCCTAGGATCAAGCCCTGCATGGGGCTCCCTGCTAGGTGAGGAGTCTGCTTCTCCCTCTCCCTCTGCCCTTCCCTGTTTGTGCTCTATGAATAAATACAGATCTTTTTTAAAAAAGTAGCTAAAATGACACTGGACAATGGGAGAGATTTTGTATTTTAATAATATTGGGACACCAATGCTAAATTCCCTAGGTGTGACAACGGTACTGCGGTTAAGTACATTTTTAAGACTGGGTAAAATGACACGGTACCTACAAGTCTGAAGTGATTCGGTAGAGAGCGCGAGCGCGCGCGCGGAGAGAGAAAGAATGTAGACATGTGGAGACACAGAATGCGGACATGTGTAAGAGAGGTAAGGCAAATGTCACAATGGTTAACAAATAGTGACTCTAAATACAGGATATGAAGGTCCCTGTGGCGCTCTTTTTGCAACTGTTCTATGGGTTTGGAATTTTTCAAGCTAGAAAGTTAAGAAAAATGGAAATGTAAAACTAAAGAATTCCCCAAGCTTAAAAAAGACATTAGTATAACCTATAATTGAAGACATAAAATGCATTTTCCTGCAGTGTTATTTCAGGGTGACTAGAATCCGCCAATTTTGTATTTACAAGCCGTTGTTCCTACTGAGCAGAAACTGTCTGCTCTGTACACAGCTTGCACTTCTGTGTTACAATCACGAGCATTCAGACTTCTAGCAACTGCCCACCTACACAAAACTTCGTATTTTCCTAGAGGACTTAGACTAGTACTGATTTTAATGACAGGTGTTTAAAGCAAATATTCCAAATGAATTTTAAAGATTGTTTTGATCTACACTGGCAGGCAGGCAGTCATTTAATTTCCTTAAGTAATAAATTAGCTGACTGAAGTTGACCTGCTATTTTCAAGGCAACCTGTAAATTCTGCTTAAATTGCTGCGTCAATTTAATGGACGTAACAACTACTTTGGCACCCTGAATCCTGAACACACAGAAAAAAACGACCTGCTGGCAGATCTTCTTTAGAAACACACACACACATACAAACAGCACCTTTAATTGCCACACAGTTAACTTCCGCACATAATGACGAAGAGAGCTGCTCAGATACCCCGATGCCCAACCTATATTATTGATTCAAGTCATGTTCTGAAAAACTAAACTCAAGGACAAGAAACTGGGCAGATTTCAGAGTCAACAGACTTAATCTGTACCAGTCTCCTGAGAGCTAGCAAATGAGTACCCTCTTTCCAGTCTTATTACTGAACTGTTACAGGACCTATTAGCTAACTTCTCTACATCTCGGTATTTCCAGCTATAAACTGAAGGAAATTCTTACAATGATTTCAAAAAGATGATACACAAGACAATCTGTTTTCCCTAACTTCGTATATTAAGCTCAACAATGAAAAAGTGAACACAGGGATGTCTGGGTGGCTGTTAGTTAAGCATCTGCCGTCAGCTCAGGTTATGATCCCAAGGTCCTGGGATCAAGCCCCACATCAGGCTCCCTGCCCAGCAGGAAGCCTGCTTCTCTCTCTCCCTCTGCCTGCTGCTGCCCTTGCTTGTGTTCTCTCTCTCTCTCTGTCAAATAAATAATTTTTTAAAAAAATACATAAAAGAATTTTTAGAAAGAGTGTATACAAAGCTTTCCAGGTATATCAATAACCCAAGCATTAGACAAAGTTAGCCAAATAGAAAATACCTTATATGTACACAAATACTTAACTTTCCTACAAATATTCTGTATCCTATTGCATGAGGAAAATGTTTCCAATGACCATCAAAAAAGTTTTATTTTTTAAATTCTACCACTCAACCGAATAAAGCATAAATATTCCTCACCTCTAAAAAATTCCTAACATGTCTGCATGTATTATTTGCTCAATAGATATTTATTCAGTGATTGAAGGAAAAAAAGGTAAAAACTCAGAGAAGTTTTCCTTTTATGCCTCCTCCTTCCAGGATCTAGGAATGCCTGAAAAAGGTACAATATGTTTGTTCTCCCAGAGAAACAGAGCTCTGCTAAAGATCCTAAGGACTACACTGCTAGGGACCACATCTCATGTTGGAGGCCAGTAAGGAACTAAGTTCGGCCTCCAGACTTTTCCATTCCAGGGGTCCTTCTACTCACAAATCACATCCCTACAGAAACCTCACTTTCCCATAAATTGCTAGCTGCAAAACTCCTGATTGGTTTCAGTAAGTTTCTGACTCCTTGGGAGAAATGGACTGCTATTGGAGAAAATCTCTTGATTCAAACCATTTCACTTAAGAAAATCAGAGAATCTATGGAAATTAGCTAATTTGATTATACTTTTAATTAATTTGTTAAATTAATTAAGTATTGTTATATTACTTCATTCAACAACTATCTGCTGAAAACCTAATGTGTGCCAAATGTAGTTGCTAAGCCCCGGCCTTCATGGGGCTTTCTCATGAGGGAGACAAGACACTAAACAAGTAAACATGCATCTATTATTACAACTTATAATTATTAGAAGGAAAAGTAAATCATTGTGTTATAATAAGAGACAAGAGAAGGACTTATTTTGGATTGATGGAAAAGGAAAAGCAATACTCAACCTGAGCTATCAAAAAGATAAACAAAAACCAAAAATAAATAAACAAATAAATAATCAAAAAGATAAAGAGGGAGCGGGACTGAGAAAAAGTATACCAGGCAGAGGGTCCCCTGGACCGTGGAAGGTTACAGAAACCACCTGCCAGTGGAAAATGTGTGTGTATGGGGGGTGGGAGTAGCAGCTCGAGAGTAAATGAGGTTATACAGGGTCATACAGGTGCTAGCAAGGAATGTGGATGTCCTCTTAGCACAACATAAAGTCAATGAAGAGTTTTATAGAGGAAAATGAGTTTTATCCAATTAATATATTTTTAAAGACTTTATTTATTTACTTGTCAGAGAGAGAGAGAGAGGCAGAGACAGAGGGAGTTCACACACAAGCAGGTGGAACGGCAGGCAGAGGGAGAAACAGGTTCCTCGCTGAGCAGAGAGCCTGATGCAGGACTCAGTCCCAGGACCCTGGGATCATGACCTGAGCCAAAGGCAGTTGCTTAACTGACTGAGCCACCCCAGCGTCACAGATCCAATTAATATTTTAGGATCACTCTGGCTGCGGACTGGAAAACAGAATGGAGGGGGCACAAGAGTGGAAGCCAAAGGTTAACCTGGACCAGAGATGACAGCCTACAGACTAAGCAACGGAGATGGTGAAAAGTAACTGCACATAAAATATGCTCAAGGTGAAGATGACAGGACTGGCTGATGGACTGGATTTAGGGGTGAGGAAGAGGTCCAGATTTCTGGACTAAGCAACTGGATGGATGACGAGAGAAAAGGGCTAGAAACATACTTTTGGGAGTTATCAGCGTATAGATGGGTAAAATGACCAAGGGAGAGTGTGGAGAAAAAGGGTCCCAGCACTGAGCTCTAAGACACCTCCACATTTAGAAGCCAAGCAAGGGAGGAAGGGCAAACCAGGAAAGGAGACTGAGAAGTAATCCTTGACGTAGGGGGGAATGCAAACAGCATGTCACAAAGCCAGGAGTTTCTAGAGGTTTCTTGTTAAGGATAGTTGACACCCGAGTTTCTGCATCCCCTGCTGCTAAGAGATCAAGAAGGCTGAGGGCAGAAAATCAGCCTTGGAATTTGACAAGACGGAGGGCTCAGATAATCAACACAAAACCCGTTTCTTTAGACTGGTAAGGATGAAAGCCCAGCAGAATGATTGAGAATGAGGGGATCAAGGACACTTCCAAACAGTTTTGTTGTAAAGGGAAGCAAAATTGGAGCCATAAGCGCACATGAATGTGCGGACAAAGGATTTTTTAAGATGGATAAATTAAAGTGGGATTGCATAAGGAGAGGAACTGCTCTAGTAAAGAGAGAAAAATTGGTTAATAATAGCTTGGGCCAGAGTGATCTATCTGAATGTTTTCCAAGATGCAAACTACACCCCATTAAAGGACCACAAAATCTACTCAGTGGGCCAGCACCCTTCCTTGACGAAAGAGACAACATCAGAGCGTGCCACAGAGGAAAAGTACTGCTTCATGACGCTTTCATTTCAGTTACATATACACACTGTGTTTTTCTGAAATCGGCAAAACAGCATTATTTAGGACCGTTAAACAGGTGAAAGAACACAAAGGGAAACAGTAAACAACCCACGCCGGAGAGAGCACAGTGCGATCACGCCGGGTTAACGCGGGCCGCGGGAAGACCTACCGGCGGAGCAGCTGCGGGGACTTCCACCTGCCGAACAAGCAAGCAGCACACGCGCCTTGTGCTCCCGCGTTCTCGGTCCAGGCTCAAGCACTTCCCTCTCCCCAGAAGACGTGCCCAGCCCACTCGGGGAGCAGCTCCTCGGAGTCAGGGCTCCCCGCGGCCAGCCAAGCCCTAGCCCAGCACTTGGCCATCTCTTCGGCAGGTACTGCCACGGCCGACGCGGGGCTGTACAGCTTCTACGTCCCCGCTGGGACCGGGGCCGAGCTCCCCGCGGTGACCCACAACACACCCGGAAACGAGTGAGGGCGCGAGCAAGCACAGGAAAGGCCGCAGGTCAAGTGCCGCTGGGCTCCCGCGCGCCAGGCACTGGGTGGGAGCAGGGACGAAGGCTCCGAGGGGCGGAGCGAGGGCCCCTTTCCTCCCCGTGTCCCGCCCCAAGCCTTTCCGCAGGGCCCCGTACACCGTGCCGCCCCATGCCGCGTCCCTCGGCTGTCCTCGGCCCAGCAGGCGTCCGCTGCGGGCGTCTGCGCACGGCCGGGAACGCGCCCCCGACGACTTACACTTCCATGCCGATCCCGCGTCGTCGCTTGCGGACGCACAGCCTCCTGCCGAACCGCCTCCGCTGCCACCGTCCGCGTCGCTCACCCAGCCCCGAGGTGGGCGCGCCGCGCTGCACGCCGGGATCGCCGCGGGGTACGTCGGGACCGCCGCGCTGCACGCCGGGATCGTCGCGGGGTACGTCGGGACCGCAGCGCTGCACGCCGGGATCCTGGCGGACCCGGCGGGTACTTCCACGTGGTTAGCGGCTGGGCGCGGCGCCCCGGTTGGGTTTAGGGCGGTTGAACTCACGCAGGCGTACAGCGCTCGTGCTTGCGCGGTCGGCGTGACGTCAGAGTACTAAACCGCTAGTTTCCAGAGGGACGGTCGGGTTACCGGCCTCCGCGGCGTTAGGGTCGCACGGTCGGGGGGTGGTGACGGCGAGGGCAAGGCGGCCCGTCCCCCGACTTTGGTGTCGGGCGCGCGGCGGGCCCCGTTTCTGAGACCCGGTGACGTGGTCGCGCGCGCTCCGCTTCGCACGTGCGTCATCCTCGGAGGACGCGTCCCGAGACGAGGGAGAAGCAAGGCCGTCCCCGTCCCTGTTCCCGGGAGATCGGCTGTGCGCGGACCCAACCTTCCCGCGTCCCCGGGGTTTGCCGGAGGGAGGACCGGACGCGTGGAGCAGGGCGTGCGTCGTGTTTTGGGGGGGGGGGATCCTGCGGTCGCGCCGGGGGCACGCGCCAGCCCGGCTGCCGCTGGGGCTGCTGTTGCGGGGCTGACGCGTGCGGCGGGCTGGAGGAGGAGCCGCCCGGCCCTGCCCGCTGTGAGGTGGTGGTCGGGGACGGCGGGTGCCCGTCCCCTTCGCAGTTGTGCGGCGCGTCTGAACGTACTTCCCTGAAGACTTTACCTGTTTGTCTGCAGGGAAGCGACGGGCGGGGGGGAAGCTGGGCCTGCCCGGGCGCGGTCCCCGGAGCCCAGCGGAGGGCGGGCGCTGGAGCCGCGGAGCGACGCGGCGCCCCCGCGGAGGATTCACGGACGGGAAGCAGATGCCGAGACGCGGGCGGTACCAGTGTCTGGACGACAAGTCAGTGTCTCGTTCTCCTCTCGCGGCTGTGTCGGTTACGTCTGCCGGGCGCTTGCTGAGGGCGGCGTGAGCGCGGCTTGACAGTCAGCGGCGCGGGCTGCCGGCGGTGCCCGGGAGCGGCTGCGTTCACCTGCGGCACTTCCTCGGAGTGCTGACCGTGGGACGCGACCTGACCCCTCCTGACCGCAGCTCCCGGACGTAAACCGCGAGTCCGCCCTGCAGCCTTCGTGACGAGCCGGCGCGCGGTGATGCTCCGCAGACGTTACCGACCGTGGCGGCGCAGCGAGGACGCTCGGGCGGATCCTGTTGCTCCTCGGATCGTTCTGCGGAGGGAACCGGGCCGGACGTGCCGTGGTTACGATTGACCCGCGGCCAGTCATCCTGGGACTTGCCCAGGAGGGGTTCACACTCGGGCAGCTTGAGCAAGCATAGGGATGTATTACATTGTTAACTGTGACTGGTGATGGGTTAAAAAACGTGTCGTAGGAATGGGACACTGACCGAACGTGGATGACCCTCAGACACATGCCAAGTGAAAGAAGCCAGACACGGAGCACCACATCCCATATGACTCCATTCTGTGAAACCTCCCGACACGGAAGACCACGTCCCATATGACTCCATTCTATGAAACATCCAGGACAGGCAAGTCTACACAGACAGGGGTGAATTAGTGGTTGCTTAGGGATGGGAGAGGGACAGGGAAGGCAGCTGATGGACACAATTTATTTGGGGGCATATAAAAATGTTCTAAAATTAGATTGTAATGGTTGCCCATCCCTGGAAAATACCAAAAAATTCTGAATTATATACCTTAAATGAGAAAACTGTATATGGTCTCTGAATTATGTATCAATGAAGCTGTTATTTTTTTTTTAACTGGTGTCTGTGGGGATTAGATTGGAAGAGAAATGACATAAATTTTTAGCATTTAACTTTTCACATTCAGAATTTTAAAAATGTTTTTCAATGCACATGTTATTTTTAATTAAAAAAATATTTTAAAGACAACAAATTTGGGGATGCCTGGGTAGCTCAGTGCATTAAGCATCTGCCTTTTGCTCAGGTCTTGTTACCAGGGCCCTGGGATTGAGTCCCACACTGGGCTCCTTGCTCAGTGGGGAGCCTGCTTCTCCCTTTGCCTGCTGGCTCACTCTCTCACACACACAAATAAATAAAGTCTTAAAAAGAAAAAAAAAAAAACTAATTTGGGGCACCTGGGTGACTCAGTTGGTTGAACATTGACTCTTGCTTTTGGCTCAGGTCATGATCTCAGGGTCATGAGCTCAAACCCTGCATCCAGTTCTGTGCTCAGCATGGAGTCTGCTTGAGATTCTTCCCACCTCAGGCATGCATGTATGCGTGCTCTCGCTCTCTCTCTAAAATTAACAGTCTTTTTTAAAAACCCAAACAACTGGGCGCCTGGGTGGTTTAGTTGGTTACGTGACTGCCTTCAGCTCAGGTCATGATCCTGGAGTCCTGGAATCAAGTCCCACAGCGGGCTTCCTGCTCTGCAGGGAGTCTTTCTCCCTCTGACCTCTCTCCTCTCATGCTGGCCCGTGTGCACGCGTGCACGTTCTCTCTCTCTCTCTCTCTCTCATCCTTTCTCTCTCTCAAATAGATAAAGTCTTACAAAAAATAAAAACCTGAGCAACTAATTTACTTTTAAAAATCTGCAAATAAATAAAATGCTACCCTGGACCCAGATGGCCTAATTTGTGTAGAGGGTCTCCATCCCTCCTTTGAGGACAGCAGACCCCACAAAAAAATCACTAAAGATGTTCATTGTGTTAGTCACTCAGCAGACATGTAGTGATGGCCCATTTGGTGGTGATGGCACGCATGTGAGTAATATGCACGTCCTACCTGGCGGCTTCGTTGGAGAACCAGCTCTGGACGTCAACAGCTGCTGCACACGGTGTTTAGACGCAGTGAAGCAGAGGCGAGAATGACTAATGAGGTGGAGAGGCGTCCCAAAGCCAGGGCTGTTTGAGCTGGTTGTGGGGAGGAGCGCCCAAGGTCAAGGTTTCTGGGATGGGCTTCCACAGAAGAGAACCTAGTGCCTGTCTGGGGGCCCATGAAAAAGTAGCTAAGCTCCAGGTTCTCCAAAGGAGGCTACCCTTAGACTGGGGGCCATATGCAGACATCCTGCCCATCCCCTAAGGGTAGCCAAATAGTCAGGAGTGAGGCCCTTTCTCCCAAGGGAAGGCTCCCCAAAAGGACCCTGTGTAATGAGATAATCCAGCCAACAGAACTAGGCTAATCAATAGCTGAAACTCCTGCCTGACCTGCCCCTACTTAGGGCCTCCCTACAGCTTTCCTAACTTGAGGCTGCGTAAGGAGTCTTTGTTCTTTGCCACCCAAAGCATACAAACCTAGAGGATTGTTTGCCCCGCCCCAACATCTGTTTTCTTTTGTTTTCTTTTAACGCAGAGCTTATCTACTATGTACAAAGGCCCAGAGCAGGAGCAAACCGTATACGTCTTCCATGTAGAAATGTCCTTTTGAACACAGAGCTATTAGGTCTAGAGCTCAGAAGAACACTGGCAAAAACTTTCGAAGGTGTAAGTATAAACTGAAGCCTTTGAAGTGGTTAAGTCACCCAGGGAGAATCTAGAATATTGAGACTTACTTGGTGCTTACCATGTGCCAGGCAGTTGATCTCAGCTCTTCACAGGGATGTGCTTATCACATTGTCCCAAGATTCCAATGAGGACGTATCCAGGCACTGTGTTAGCATGGTCTCACATACTGCTCTCAGAGTTTGCAGACTTAAGCACCACGATCAGCCCATTTCACAGCAAAGTGAAGCTCAGAGAGGAGTTAACAAAGTATGAGAGCCAGGATGCTCTCTCTTCTCTGGCCAACTCCCAACATGCACATGCACCAGCATTAACCCAACCTTTCCTTTCAGTTCCAGGGCCCACCAACATCAGGGATGCCTCCCTGTTCTGCACTAGACCCTTGTGATGCACCAAAGTAGAAAATGTAGGGGAAACAAGCCAGGCAAGGCTTTCATTCTTCTGAAGAAGCTAAATCCTGTGCAGCACTCAGGGCTCTGCTGAAATGCCTGCTGTCCATTGTCTGAAAATCCTGGACCCTTGAGCTGGCAATGGGGATGGACACACAAGGTTTGTCTCTGGTCAAGGCCCTGACGGAAACGTCAGCAAAGTCGAGTAAGGCTGTGATCTCATTATTAGCATCCCAGGAGCAGGAATTGTAAACCCTTGGTGACCTCCAGTCATGGGCTGTGTTCCTGGGCACCCACAGGAATGAGGCTGTCAAGTGTGGTGGGTTGCAGATATGGGTTCTGTGGCCAGAGAGACTGGGTTAAATCCAGCACCCACCTTACTGAGTCGGTGTGTTTCAAGTGGCAAGCATGAAGAAAAACGAACTATTATCTTCCCATACATCCAAAGCAAGGAAATAAGATTTTGGGTGAAGAAAGTGTTAAGAATATGGTGACAGATGGATGTCATCTAGTTCTCCTCGTTGCAGGTACAAAGTCCATCTTCTTGGAAAAATCACGAAGCCTTTCATTACCCACCTTACCTAGGGACAGTTGACATGAGTTGAGCGAAAGGCTTCTAGTGAGTAAGAGAATGTTACATGACAGAGCAGAGAGTGGAGTGGGAGTAAGTGGTCAGCCCCATTCAGGGGCATTTTCCTGGAGTCTCTCCATATGGGAGGCAGAAAGACATCCCCAAAGATGTCCACACCAAAATTCTCCAGAACCCATGGACATGTTGCTATATATGCCCAAAGGGTCTTTCCAGATGTGACTAAGGTTATGGACCTTATGATGGCAAGATTACCCTGAATCATTTTAAAGGGCCCAATGTAAGCACATGGGACCTTCAAAGAGCAGAATCTTTCCCATCCGAGTTAGAGGGAGATGGAACTGGAGGAAGAGTCAGACAGATACAACTTTCCTGGTTTTGAAGATGGAGGAAGGGACCATGAGCCAAGGAATGTAGGTGGTCTCTAGAAACCAGAAAAGGCAAATAAATAGACTTTTCCATGG